GCCCTAGAGAGTGGAAGTGATTTTTAACATTTCTTTAAATGTGAGATTTCAGAAAGAAATAGTCTGAAGATTGTATATTGGTTTTCTAGGGCTTCCGTAACAAGATACCACAGGCTAGATCACTTAAAACAATAATAACTCTTTCACAGTTCTGGAGGCTAGAAATCTCCTATCAAGGTGTCAGTAGGCTCATGCTTGATCCGAGACTCTGGGTGGAGTCTTTCCTTGCTTCCAGTGTTGGCCATCGATTCTTGGCCATTGATTCTTGACATTCCTTGGTTTGTAGCTGCATCACTTCCATCTTTGCCTCTGTGATCACATGGCTTTCTCCCTGTGTGCCTTTAGGTTCACATGATGTTTTCCTCTTCTTAGAAGGGCATTGATTTTGTTGGATTGGGGCCTATTCGAATGTACTCACCTAACCTTATTTCAAAAATCCTATTTCCCAATAAGGTCACATTCATAAGTACCAGGAGTTAGGATTCAGTATATCTCTAAGAGGGACACACAATTCCACTTCTAAAAGAGTATTTCTAGAAAATATACTGTTTGATATGGTTTAGAAATCCAGACAAGAAGAGTTTGTATTTTGTTCTTGATTTTATAATGAGCTCCCACTTATGGATAAAAGTCCATGTTATTCTTTAAGGCTTTTAGATTCAGACTTCTGTTATTTTTGATGTGTCCATGGACAAAACCAAGCTTTAAGGGGCCCTGATTGGTTAGAATAAACCCATTTAGACTTTGTTTTTTTCTTTTCTGTACCAAAACCCATTCCCTTGAGTACCACATCAGGCATTATGTCTTCTTTGTCATTTCTATGTTTATAACACACAAAAGTATGCATGACATCATTACTAAGCTCTGTTTCTAGTGTCTTCAAAGTTTACACTCTGTATCTTGCCTTGCATTCGGTGTATATTGTGTAACTTACTCAAAGTTTCGTTCGTATTTCATTTTTTAGCTTTGCATACTATTATTACATGATTCATAATGTAGTTTCTCAGTCTGCTGAAGATTAGAATTGGTGCATTAAATGGTAGAGCTGGTGCATTACATTTTTAAGGCAGATAAGTAAGCCATGAGAGGTAAAAATTAAAACTGACTTCTAGAAGACAGAAACAATATCAACATATACACAAACTATAAAACATACATGTGTGTACACTCATGAATAAGAACCACCTTCTTAAGGATAGCAGACTTAGATCATTTATTAACAGTTCATTGTATCTCAGAATACTGTACAATGACTCAGTTGATATCAATATAAGTTTATATTTCATTACGTATGTTTATAAATGTTTCAGTCTAAGTTGTTCAGTATTTGTATTTTAAATGGTATTATCTATGAGGGCTTAATGGCACAAGTTTTAATTCTGTAGAAAATTTACTGAATAAGAACAGCTTGTTTTACAATACAAAATATCATTCTTAAAAATAAAATTGTTACCTGTATCATCTTTTAATTTTGATTTACTTACATATGTGAAAAATAGAGTAAATTATTAAGTCCAAAAGAAAAATCTCATTTAAATGAAATTAAGTGTATGTGCATGCTTTGTATGTTCATAGCAAATGTGATTATCTCCTTGCTATATGTTTCTGTGGAACCAGGCCTTCTTACTCTCTGTGGTTAGTACATGCAATTTATGAATGTAAATGTATAATGTCACTTATATGTGAAATCTAAAAAAGCCAAACTCATAGAAACAGAGAGAAGAATGGTGGTTATGAGGGACTAGAGGGTGATGAAATGGGGGAGATATTAGTCAAAGAGTACAAACTTCCAGTTATAAGACGTATAAGTTCTGGGGATGTAATGTACAACTTGGTGATTATAGTTAACAATACTATATTATATACTTGAAAGTTACCGGTAGAGTAAATCTTAAATGTTCTCACCACACACACACACACACACACACACACACACACAGTGGTAATTAGGTGAGAAGATGGTGGTGTTAGCTAATGCTGGGGTGCTAATTATTTTGCAGTATATAAATATATCAAAATCACATGTATACCTTATAGTTACACAATGTTAATTATAATTCAGTAAAACTGGAAAAAAATTAAAGTGAAGATATTTATCAGTGTATAGGTTATGGATCTTAATGACATCCAAAATATTTTAATTCAGAGAATTAGAGTAAATCATTGTGGACTAGAGTTGAGGGAAATATTGTTATGGTGCATGTCATATAAAGGTGACATAACTTCTCGTGTTTCTTCTTGTCTTGGCAGTGTGTGCAGGAACAGAGAATAAGCTGAGCTCTCTCTCTGACCTGGAGCAGCAGTACCGAGCCTTGCGCAAATACTATGAGAACTGTGAGGTAGTCATGGGCAACCTGGAGATAACCAGCATTGAGCACAACCGGGACCTCTCCTTTCTGCGGGTAAAGATGTCTCTTTCTTTCTCTTCTCTTCTTTGTAATGGACAGTGATGTCACGGTGCATAAAGACGGAATAGTTTGCTTGAACCTGATGGCTAGGTTCTGCTGCCAGCAGGGATTGTGACTGTAGATGGAAAATCAGAGATGCCAAGGCACACCCAGGAGTAACAAAGAACCGTTATGATTGAAATCCTGAGTTTAGAGCAGTTACTGTTACCCTAAGATTGATGAAAGACTCTGTCAGGGTACAGGGCAAGATTCTAGCAAGTCTGTTTTTTTCTGAATTGCAGACAAGAGGCAAAATTTAGGCCGGGGACTAGGAGAGTCAGAGATAAGTTTGGTTAACTTTAGTAATTTCCTTCTCTGCCCCTTTCTATCACTTTGGAAATTTTACGCTATCTCACGTTACCATCATGAGACTGATACTGTTAACTTTAGAAGAAAAATGGCATCTGTTTTTCAAAACCTACAAGTCATTTAAAGTAGACTCACAGGAAATCACCAGCACTTATGTACTTATATAGGTCTCCATATGCATGTATATGAATGCAAAAGTGCATAAATGGAGTTACCCAGAGACAACCAGCCGTTCTATTAACTTGTTTTGGCTCTCATTTATCCTTACTCTGTTAAACCTGTTGTTAGTGCTAAATGCCTACAGTTTCTTAAGTTTTGCTTTAACCAGAAGAACAATAAGAAAATCAAAACTTCAAAGGGACTTTGACAAAGTGAGATGGGGATGTGGTCTTTTGTACAACTAATAATTTATTCTTCATATAAGAATTAATAAGGTATATTTTAAATAAATAGTATTCCTAGAATATTTTTGATTTTGTTTTCAGTAACATTTACACATTTCTAGGGAGCACTGTCTTATATAAATGAAGACGTAAATCATGTTTTGAATACTAATACAGTAAGCTATTTAGTAGATAGTAAATTATTTGGAGAACTATGGTAATTTTAATAAGTCTATACTTAGATAAATAGTGAAAACAGTGATTTAAAAATACTGTGACTGTAACAAAAATGTCTAGAAAGGATAACAACCTCAGAAAACATACCACTTCAGAACTTAAATAACACTATGAAACTTACGATATCTGCTTTTAAAATGATTATCATACTAGTACTGAGACAAGGAATTAAGGGCTTTTCATATTCTATTGCTTGGTTGACAGAACTTTAGTTTTACAGGTTCTGTGTCAAAACTTTGTATTAACTGTGATGTTTAATTATGGCACTTTTGTTTATCAAAAATAGATATAAAATTTTTCTAAACTTTTCTAAATCCTTGAATGAGAAGGCCTAAAAAGAACATAACACTTTTTTTTTCTATTTTGGACTATTTTAAGAAATGATCATGTACAAGCCGTCCTAGAACAGCCAACTTCAAAGGAGTGCATCTGAGTATTAGTTATTAAAATTTACTTAAAAGAGTTTAACTTGTCTTGATTGACGGTTTTCAGATGGGCTTTATTCTTCAGCATCAAAATAAAAACTTGATGGTATATGAACTGATTTGTAGATTTAATTAGAAATGCCAAGAAACTCAATGATATTATAGAAAAGGAAAATTAACTAAGAGCTGAATTCTGAAACAGGGGAAATAGGTTGAATAGTCACTAGATCAGAATAATGTGAGAAAATGTTAAAAGGCGATCTAAGGCCTTTTTCTCCTTATATTTTCCATTGTTTACTATACATGGTACTAGATTTCACTGGCTTAACAAAAAATAGCATAGTTACTGTGACAATCTTCAAAATAAACTACACAAAATTGTCTTGGTTATTATATATTTTATAATTTTACCATTCTTAAGCTCTTGTAACATAACAGGATAGAATGATGTTCATTCTAAATGAACTATGAATGTAGCATATAGACCTTTGTAAGAAAGCCTAGAAATATGACTGTAGCATATAGACCTTCGAGCAGTATGGTCTAAACTGTTGGATATTCTGTTTATTTAGGAACTATTTTGAAGTAAAAAAATTAAGGTAAGTTAATAGAATGAAGGGATTTGAGAAAGAATGCAATAAGGCAGACCAAGTTTTCTACTTGGAGCAAGAAATAAGTTGTTTGTCTAAAAAGTTAACTATCAGTTCCTAAGAAACATCTCTAAAAATTTCAGATAAACTTTGTACTAACACATGCACATATCTGGATTTTAAACTATTATTTAAATATAACTATAATAGGTTTTTATGTTTGTATTTGGCTTGCTAATAACATCCTTTTTTTGTTTTACTTGTCTTTTGTTCCTTTGGAAAATAATCATTTCTAATTATGACGTATATTCATTCACTCAACAAATGGTCTTAACTCCAATGATACAATAGCAAGGAATCTATTGTCCTTGACATCAACAATCTTTCAATCTTGTAGAGGGTTATAGACATAATCACTGTATATATGAATGTGTGTATATATGTTTTTGTGTGTGTGTGTGTGTGTGTATAAACATATACATATGCCAATATGAAATTTGATAGCCACTGAAACAGAAATAGGGAACCAGAATCAAAATCAAGGTATGGTACTGTGTTAATGGTAAGCCCAGATGCTGGGCAATGAAAGGAATGACTAATTCTGAAGGATTCAGGAACGATTTTGTTGAAGTTGTGCTTGAATTGAAGCATGGGAAAATGAATAGGGGCTCACAAGGTGGGTGGGTGTAAGAGCGTTCCAATGGGAGTAATGTAAGCTAAGACTAAGAAGGCCTTATGTCAAGTTAATAAATGTGTGCCTAGTGTTGTTACTTTAGGTACTAGACCCCAGCCTGCAAATGAATCAAACGCTGTTCTCACTTATATGGAACCTCCAGTATAGTATGGATGAAAATAAATTTGGGGATGGAATAAAATATTAAACTGGAGAGGCAGAGAACCTTATACTATCAATAGATAACTAGGAGACATCAGTACCCAAGTAACAATTTTGCATTTGGGGATTAGATAAAATAGTCAAGGGAGGTTGAAAAGTGTGGGCCCAAGAAATGGGCTTCGGACAGAACTCTCTGAATACCCCATTATCTGCTTTTTGGTGAGTTTAGTGTTTTTCATAACTACTTTTATTAGTGAACCCTGAAAGCTAAGATTATTAGCCGAAATCTTCATACTACTTCATTGGATGAGCTGTTATTTCTAACTGTACCTTAGAATATGCTAAAAGTTCTCCATTTAATATAAAATTTCATTTATCCTAATAACTATGTTATGGTTCATTTGTGCTCTTAGCAGCTTCCCTCCAAATTACATAATCTGTTCAATGTTGACACACTGAAATGAGTAGAGTTCATGTGAAGGAAATCTAGTTATTTTACGTTATGCTATTCTTTCTGGTAAATTTTGAATTGTGTGAGTGAATAGTAAACTTTCATTAACTTATCCTTTGGATTTCATAGTGCTCATATATGTGTGTGTGTGTGTGTGAGAGAGAGAGAGACAGAGAGACTGTAATTCATTGATCCACTTCTTACAGAGGTGTACAATTTCCCTTCCTCTAAGGATGACCATTACCTATAATGTGCTAAGAGAGACATCATAGATAGGAACCTTACATTTCATTTTGGAATTTATTTTTGTCCTTAAGAACTTAAATTATTTTTGTTTTAAGAATATTTTCCATCCTTTTTTCATCTGTAATTAGCAAGGTCATAGTGTTTCTTATTGTTTGTTTTGTATGAAACGACTCTAGTTTCTGGGATTCGAGATACTTTGTTTACCTCTTTCACTATCTGAATAGTCAGTGCCTAGAACAAGTGCCTAAAATATAGCAGATTTTCATTAAGTATTTGCTGAATAGACAAATAAGTGTTTTTCTCAGTACTTAATCATACTTCCTTATAAATCACTGTTTTATGTATAATATGTTCTCTAGATGAATATGTGGGAACCTCCTCATGTTATGTCAATGTGGTACCTCCACAGGTCGGATGTGTGGGTAATCAGATTCCCTTCCTATGAGGATTTGGAATTGTGACAAGGAACATTTAGTTTCTGTATCAGTTAGCTTCTTGACCACTTCTTGACCACCAGAACACAGCAATTTTTTTCTGGCAGTTTGACTGTCAGAGAGAGCTGGGCAGACAGAGGAATGGCACCAACACAGCAAACAGACAAAGAGATCAGAGAAAGAGGCATTCAACTCAAACCAGTAAATGAGAAAGCCCTTCATTTCCAGGTTCTAGTCTGCTTCCAAAGACTGGTTGCATCCTAGCCATTGGGGCCATAGGATATTCTTGGAACTTGGTAGTAACTTTGAAGTGATTTCTTCAAAGATAGGTTGCTTTCTTTTACTATTACTAAAATATTCCATCTAGTATTATCTTCCAAGATCTCAAGAACACAGCAAAAGTGGGCCTTTGAAATTGGATTGAAGATGTGCTTATATATAACCCCCCTAAAAACAAACAAAAACCTATGTTTTGTAGATACTTCCTTAATCTTTGTTAGATATATTTTATTGAAATACTTTCAATTATATTCTTTCAAGATGCTTTTATTATATCACACTTGATCCTTATTTCTGTACACACCTTTTCACCCAGCTTTGTTGTAACCTCAAGTTTTTACATTTCTTTTAGTGGAAAACAAATCTAGCTGACAGTATTTAACATTAGACCTCTGAGACACTGAGTAGTTGGCTAGAAAAAGGCCCTAAAACTTATTTACTATGTACTTTATCTCCGTCAAAAGGTTAAGACTTATAATGGAAAACAGCAAGGCATAAAAATCACAGATTTTTTGCTATTGTGTTACACTTTGTGAACTCTCTAAAACAAGATAAAACATAGCAAGTAATGGGAATGAACTATTAGACCTTTTACCCTCATTAAAATTCTTGGGAAATTTCTCTCCTTTGTCATCCCATTGGTCTTCCTTGCTACTGCTGGCATTCAGTAACCCAGAGCTTCTAACAAGGTGCCTGACCCGCTAGCTTTTATACTTTAAATTTATTTTTTCTGTTTTATGTATTCACTTTAAGCAAATAAGTTTTA